AATCCATTAATTTTTGTCAACCCAGGAATAGTAAGAAAAAACAAATATTATTTGGTATTTACATACAACCTCACCATTTTTATTTCAACACAAAAAAAATGGACAACCATAGAGCCCACAAGATCTCAAGAAAACAAACACAGGAAATTTAAATGTCGATATCATCTAATGAGATTTCTTCCTCTTCGTTTAGTCGTTTCATTTTCTGCACAAAACACAACATACACAACATTTTCAGTTCATTAGACAGTTACAAAAGAGAGATCTCTTTGGTGTATAAAAATCCAAAATGTGAAAAGATTTTTCCCATACAGTGAGGAAAGTTTGGGGATCAATGAAGCTGGAGGAGCCTAAGATAACTTCTCTGTCAAGCTTCTCCGTAAGTTTGTGACAAACCCTCAACTGCAACCAAACCAAAATTCTGTTACACACTAGGTCACAATCAGTTTATATATCTCAGACCGGTTTAGAAGTAGTATTCCAGTACCTCAGATCTTGTTGCTCCTCCAACTATGAACACAAAAATCCGCTGTCCCTTTCTCTTGAATCCGCTAGATGCTCGTCCTAGAACCGAGTCACTGAAACCCACACAGATTAAAACTATGCATAAATTTGGCCAACTATATCATCAAATAGCATATCCATCTTTGTATACATTTTGCAGATAATTCAACGATTAGATTCGGAAATAATTACCTAAAGTATCCATCGTCAGAAAGATGGCGTCTTGCCCATGTTGGTGTTCGTCTTGAATGAGGCAATACCGGACTTGCTGATGGAGATTGAGAGCCAGAATAAAAAGTTGGCTTTGGTTCATTCATACAAGGGTACTCTTGTTTTGGCAAATGATCTTTGTTTAGTTTCTCAACAAGCTCCTGAAAGAAATATCACCCACACAGAAAAAGAAACCAAACATGTTACTGATTCTTTAGTGAATAAAACAATGCATAAAGTAAAAGAAACTTGATTTTTTTGTGAAAATGTAAAGACCTCTATGATTGGGTAAAATCGAGATAGTTGCCATGTTTGAGTTTCACCAACCCGGTCTCTTCGAGCAGCTCGCTTTTTCTGAGCCACATGGTTCAAAGTTTCTACTAATTAGATTGTCAAGAAAATTTTAGTTAAGACACCATGATAGAAAACATGAGGAAGAATACGTACCTTAAGAACATCAAACTTGAGAGGGAAAGAAGATCCTGTTGTGCTCTTTTTAGATTCTGTAGGTACCGGTCCAAGAAATTTCAAATTGTTTACAGCGACTACATCATCGCCTGACAACTTTGCTAGCTGAAGGGTTTAATCAAGAAGTAGAAAAGCTTAATAACGATAAACTAATCATCCTTAGGTTTGAGTCATTTGGGAGAGAAATCGAGTTTATACCTCCATCATCTTTCGTCCTTTCTCTCCTTCAAACTTCTTTGGGTAAATTGCGGCAACAATCATCATTAACCGCAGCTTGCTTTCTTGGCTTATAGTCTGAAAATGTCACTCACTTTCAACACAAAATCTTCTGATGCCTGAAACTGAAACTAAAAAGCAAATACACATCTTACATGGTTGATACTCAAGAATTTGATAACGTCTTTTCTTCCAGCATCCCCAAAAACAAGATCCTGCTCGAGCTGCCCGAGTTCTCTTAGACCTTTTTCCATTATAGTTCTGTTAATTGTTCTAGCAATCTGCAGTGACATTAACCATGCTCGATAAGAATACTTTATCAAACTTTCTTCCACGGTTTATGATAGAAGGTTAAAACTGACCTCCACATGAAGAGAAAGCTTGTCAATTTGCTCGCTGTACTGAGGCAAAGCGTGAACCATCTTCTGCAAGTCTTTTGATGAAAGGTCACCAAAGTCTCTGAACATAAGAAGTCAATAAATCAATCAGCAAATTTCTAGTGGATCGCTTGAAACAAGGAAAAAAAAGACAACTCGGTAACTACTTTGAACTGTGTTTCAATTGCGCGGCTTTGTTCTTCGACACAAAGTTTGTCATCTTCTCATGCAATCTTTCACTGGCCTGAACACAAAAACAGATTATTCCCGAAACAAAACTGAAAAAGGGGAGGCAAGATAATGTAGCAACACATACATCTGCGATGTGAACATCACGAAGCTCCACCCAAATGGGATCTTCTTCGTCTAGAAGAACCTCTTTCTTCTCAGGATTATCACCAGCTTTACTCGGAACCTATACACTAAGAAATAAAAGGGAAATTACCATATGCTGTAGTGATGAGCTACACAGCCAACTTTTACAAGATTTGAACGCAAAACCAAAATGTCACCTCGTGTGTGTATTTATTTCCTTCCATATTAAGCAAATCGTGGCACATGGCATCGTACGTCCACTCATGAATGAGAGGTGCAATCTAAGAAGCACACAAAGGTTATTTTGTTAATGGTGGCTATGACATATCAAGCAGAACTGAAAAATAAGTGTCTCAACTCAAGTTAAGATCCAGACCTGGTCTATGGATCGATCAAGGATAAGTAGTTCACATGTTTCAGTCTGAGGAAACTCTTCGATTGTCTGTTTGTATCTTGCCAAACAATTCCATACACTAGCAGCAAGCTTTGTAGGAATCAAATCTCGGTAAGTTGTCATTGTTGTGGCATCAAGAGCTTTGGCTCCACGGTAACGCACAATGGGGTATTCCTGTATACCAGAAGAGTTTAAAGATATAAACTATTTTGGGAATTTCATGCCAAATCAACAAAACAAGCTTTGGATTTGTGTGCTTATACCCTTAGCGAGGCCAAAACTGTAGCAATGCGTTTAGCTACCACATTCAAGCAAGCATCTGCTCTTTGATGATTTTCCTTGTCACTGAAAAGTTCTTCTAGAGCATTTTCATTATTTGTTATATACCCCTGCAAATTCATAATACATACGAGGAGTTAAATAAACAGATTTTAAGTTCTTCTGTACAAATTGCAGTCTTTTTGAAGGCAGTTCTAAGTTGTTATAAGTTTGGTAGCAACTACGTGAAAGCTGTATTTGAGTTTGGCCTCAAGAACGGAACTCAATCTTCAGTATCATGATTTTCGAATTAGGGAAATCTCAAGGGATAAACAGGAATAAAATCAGGATTTTAAAAGTAGAAGATACCTGACAGTCCATGGTAATGTACTCCAAGTTCATCTGCATATCATGAACCAGGTTACACAAAGGTATATAAGTATCTCTATTTTATTTATGAAATCCAGTTCTACATTATCTTAACTATCTTGTGAAATTGCATGAAGAAAAGAAAAGTGGCAAATAGAAGAAACCTCTTTCAGTGCCCCAATTCGTTTCATCGCTCGCATGTCCTTCCTAATGAGAGTAACTAAGCTTCTCGAAACAGGAGAACTAAAGAAAACGAAAGCCCTAAAGCCAAATTAAAGAAAACGATTAATCATTTGGACAAGACAATTCATAGATATATAAAGTTATGAAGTAGGATGGAATTGTTCACATACTTCTTGTAAAGTGGTGATTTTCCAGTCATATCTGACAAAAACGCATTGACACTACAAAACAAAAATAGTAACAGCTTCAGAAAATCATTAAAGTTCATTGGCAAGAAACTGATGTCAACTGTCTCAAATGAAAGAGATTTTATACTTTGATTCGGTCGGTTGAATAAAGTATATGGCTTCCATGGCAGTCATAGGTTGTCTATGTTTAGTTATCACCTCAACCACTGGAAAAAAAAATGAAACAAAACATCAAGATAATATAACAATATTGATCGCTTCGAGCTCTGAACGAAAATAATCCTTACAAGAAATGCCTTCTTGTGTGATCTCAGACATTTTGCAAACAGATGACATTATCTTCACAGTGAACTTGTCCATAACAAGTACCTAATCATACATTTCCAGGTTCAGAGAATCAGTATACGCGATAAGAAAACCGATAAAACCAGTACTTCAAAGGTAAAGTTAATAAAGCAAAATTGGATAGAGATTACCTTCCAACCTGATTTCGAGCTCCCATTTTTTTCTGGCCTAAGCATTTCATACAGTAATCCTGAAACATAAAGTGACAAAAATTCATCTTGTTCCTGATTTGCCTTACTCAAATGAAATTAGTATAACAAAACATATGATTCATTGTGATCACGTTGACCCCTAATTCGAAACCCATAAACCCACGCACATGATTTTATAATTAGGATTCAGACATCAGAAAAAGCTTCTGTCTCTTAATTAACATGAACCTGGAACACTAACACCATTACAGAGCCTAATGGTCTATAAAAAAACCCGATTTCAAACACAGAATCGGTTAGAGAACTCACTCTCTCGGGTGATTTGTCTGAAATTCTTGTAATCTCCGCCATAAGAGGACGATCCAGAATCGGAGAAAGACATTATTAGCGTGAAATCGATTTAGTCGACGAAAAATGGATATTTTTTGTTAGACCGAAAGAAAGAAAAAAAACAAATCAAACCGAATCGAATATAATTCGGGATAAGAAAAAGAAAAAAAAAAACAGATTCCCGAAGAAGAAGAAATTTTTGGATCGGAGAAAATGAGAATCTAGGGTTTACTTGGTGACGAAGACAACCTTAGAAAGTAAAGAAAACTTTGATTTTTCCGTTTTTTTGCTTCACCATCAAATTTCAAAACTTCGAACGAGTTTTTTTTTTTGATTTTTTCTCAGACATGTGAAGTCAAATATAGGGGCCAAATTGTATTACTATTATTTATAAAATTGCATAAAAGCCCTCAAAGTATCTAATGTTTATAAAAATAAGTCAGAATCTATTGAACGTATTACAATCATCCAACTAATATACAAAGAAAAAGTCTCTTTTGTGTCTGGTTCAGAAATTTCATCGAACACTTTCTATGCAATAGCACAAGTTCCGTACTTTGACTACACGTGTCGCAACCGGTGATTAAAACCACCGCCACGTGTCGATCACGTGGCTTTGTTCCAGGGCTTCCTCCTCCTCCTCTTGTGTTAACCACATAGACGAAGAAGAGAAATACGATTTTCAAAGAAAATGTTTCGATTCAATTTCCGTCGTGAAATCTTGAAATCTACCGGGATTTTTCGCCGGAACATACACAGCGATCTCGAAGATGCTGGGCCGATGGCATCTCGGCTTAAATCCCGTTCAGTTGTCCGGTTTAGCGGACCGGATACGGTTAAATTTCTTCAGGGTTTGTTAACAAACGATGTACGGAGGTTCGGTGAATCTTCCGGCAAGAAAAGCTCGGCGATTCCTACGCCTAACATGGCTTCCGTTTCGACGCCGCCTATGTATGCGGCGTTGTTAACTCCTCAAGGAAGGTTTCTGTACGATTTCTTCTTGTATAGCAATTCGCGACCCGAGGAGAAACTCGATCGGACTGGTTCAGGACCCGGGTCGGATTCGGGTCGTGATGGGTCGGTTGAGTTGTTTGCAGATGTTGATGTCTCTGTCCTTGATGAATTGCTTGAAACACTCAAAAAGTAAGCTTTTTTGCCCTCTCACATTTTGGAACAGGAATTTGAAAAATTAGGTCTTGTTTAGAGCTCAGTGTTATCAATGCCAGAGATTGGGGTTTATTGATTATAGATTATTGAAATTAGATGCCATTTCTATTGATTTGTAGAAGAAGGAAGTATTTTTCTTGTTAACATTAGTTCTGAATTGTGTTGTATGAATGTTTATAGATATCGATTGAGGTCTAAAGTGGATATCGAAAACGTTGCAGACGAATTCTCGTGTTGGCAGCGTTACGGTATGAATCTTTCGGGGTCTTCATCTGTTGGTTGGGGCGGTGGCACTGATCGTGCTGGTGAAACTACAGCTAGTGGTAATAAGTGTGGATGTCAATGGTACAAGGATCCGAGGTTGGATTGTCTTGGTTATCGAGGCATATTTCCTTCTGATGCAACCCGTGAGTTTCTTGATCGAATAGACGCTTTGTTTCTCGAGTTTTTGAGTACTTTTGTGATTAAAGATTTTGGTGGTATGTGTGGTTTGTTTGTTTTGCAGCGCCTTTAGTTGAGGCGGATAAAGAAACAGATGAAAGTAATTATCTTTTATGGAGATTAGAGCATGGAGTTGCTGAAGGATCAGCTGAAATCCCTAAAGGTATGATCTGTTTCTTTCTTTTTAACTCACTGATCTTTCTGCTTCTCTGTGTGTTTATATAATATGTTGCGTGGCTTTGTACAGGCGAAGCAATTCCGCTTGAATATAATCTTGTTGGTCTTAATGCAATAAGCTTTGACAAAGGCTGCTATGTTGGTCAAGAGCTTATAGCTCGTACTCACCACCGAGGTGTCATCCGGAAACGCTTAATCCCTTTACGATTCATTGATAGCAATGGAAAAGGTAAACTCAAATTTCTTACATCTTGTGATCTAGAAAACCGACTCCCTGGCTTAAGTGATGATGGTAATGCAGAGGTAAATCAGAAAGTTGCGGCTGGTGCGGAAGTGGTTGAATCAGGAACCGGTAAGAAATTGGGGACGGTTTCAACAGCTTTGGGTAGCCGGGGAATGGGTGTTTTGCGGGTAGAGGAAGCCTTTAAGGCATCAACTGAGTTGACAGTAAAGGGCTCAGAGGACGTGAAAATAGAGGTAATCAGACCGATGTGGTGGCCAGGCCAGTGGTTCCAGCAGAATCAATCAGAGACAGCCTCTGCGTAGTAACAACCTTTTAAGGTAAAACAAGGGTAACAAAATCTTGTGCTTTTACTTGTGAGTGATGGGTGAAAAAGTTGATTGGATTTCTGGAATTTCTTGTGGTTATAGCTCCGGTAACAAGTTTGTTCCTTTTGTCAAATTTTTTTTGCAGTTTAAGAAAATAAAGTTGATACATTTCCGGCTAGGAATTCTGGACCGGGAAGCTGTCTTTTTTATGTTAATGGCAGGCAGCAAGTTCGTAGCTTTGTTTGTATTCCACTGTTTAACTAATAAAGTTTGAAACTTTCCGGCGAGTTTTAGTCTTGATGCGTATTCTGATAAATTTAAAAGTCATCGAGTTTGGTGGTCTTTTGTAGATAAAATTTGGTAACTTTTAGAAGACCATATTAGAGACGTGCTAAAAGGATTGTAGAACCAAGAGGCCTTGCACTAGACGGAGTCAGTTGTACTGTACTGACCAAAGAGTTGGACACTGGTTTTAAATTTGTAATCATGAGCAGCACTTCATTATGTTTTTCATCATCCAACATCAAAAAGTTACAATTTCTTGGATTTAAAGACCCTTAAAAAAAACGCAAAATTGCATTCAATTTGTTTCCAAATAACCCAATACAACTGTAAAATTACAAATTTTCTAGTTTCCTCTTATCTTAATAACAAAATTACTTTTAATAACTCCTTACAATTATTCTGCAATCAGTAGATAAAAACCCTAACTTCCAAAACAAGATACCCACTTTGTTCCAAATCATGGATCGTAGAGCACAGTCCGACACAGAGGGCAAGTGTTTTTGCGTTTAAGCCACTCCAAAAGACAAAGATCGTGGAAGACATGAGAACAAGTCATGCGTGTTGCGCAACTACCAGGTTTCGAACCAGAGAGATTCTCGAGACAAATCGAACACGGTTCTGTTTCCATCTTCAAACTCTTCAATTCCTCTCTACCTATCTTCCCTAGTAGAACCATCCTCAACAAAGCAGCTCTCTTCGACAATCCCTCATCGTTAGACATAACCACTACGGTCTCGTAAGTAATTTTGACAACGATGGTCAAGTGAATTCCGTTACGACCAAATCCCAACATGGTTGCAGCCGTTGAGATCTCTGAGGCTAAGTCTACGCATAACCAACGGTGACTAGTACTGAGTTGATTGTGTAGAAGCGAGTGGATGTGGTCGTGACTCACACTACGGAAACAGAAGATGATGGGAAAAGATCGTGTAGTCGGAGTGGACCGGCCGGTTAAGGTTCGTTGACGGGTGGTTGGATTTTCGATGATCTCAACAGATCTTGTGTCGACGATGATGAGGACTGAGTTTGTGAGTCCTTCCGATGGAGAAAGATTTCTCCCTTTGACGTGATATATCACTTGGAGAGTGTTCATGTTTGAGAACACTAATTAAGAGAGAAAATTGTAATGAGAGCAATAATTGACAGAGAAGCAACGATAACACAAGAGATCAGTGAAATTGTGAAGCTTTAGGGTTACGTATCGAGATATATATAAGACTTTAAAGAGTTATGTATTTTGGCGGTTCAACGGTCTTATTTGTTAATTTCCTTTTTCTTTTGTTACTAAAAAAGTTTCCTTTTTTTTCAATGTTGGGTCGACATTTATTGGAGATATTGTTAATTCCAGGTTGATATATGATCACTTTCACTTTTGTTTATCAAAACTTCCTATTAAGAAAGGGATTTAAGTTGATAATTATACTCAAAGAACTTATTTATAATCTCCCGTTTCATGGGTGTTTTACTTTAATTTTGACGTTCTCCAACACCATTCCTGATTCATCTCTCGAGTCTATCTTCGATTTTCGATCAGTAATCCCGAAGATAGAAGCAGCAGCACCTCTTAGCTTTAGTCGAATCAGGATCGAATGAGCTCGCTCCAGAAATCCCAAGTGTTGTTATGGCCAATGCTAAGATAACCTACCAACAAAAAACAAAAAAAATCATCCCAATCCAATCCAATCAGAAATGATTTATTCTCTTATACTCAAGGTTCATTACAGAGATTTTGAAAGCAAAACATAACCTGAAAACATCACTGTAGTTTGCCTTTCCGTCTTTAACGATTCTAGCACCCGCGTAGAAACAAGTACCGTAAACAGAGTAAAGAACGAAGAATGAGAAGCCAAACCCTAACCCGGTGATTAATCCTTGTTTGATCCCGGATTTAATCGGATCTTCGCATCGCTTTTTGTACATCTCAATCACTTTTTCCTCCGCACAGAAAGATGCAACTATTCTTATACTCCCCACTGCATCGTTGGCCACCTGACTCGCCTCCTGGTACTTTGTCTACAAACAATTTTCTTTGAGTTTCTTCTTCCACAAGTAACAAACCCTAAAAAATACTCATTTTAAGATAAAAAGCTGTGTTTATCTCCTTTCTTAATAGGAAGAAAGGAGATAAACACAAAGAAAAAGTGATCGAGACGGATTCTGACACTGATCGATCCGTCTCGGAATCCTTTAGAAATCTCCAATTGTTTCGGCTCTTTGTTTATCTCTTTGTAACCGAATAAGCTGTGAATAAGCCCCTTCATGATCCTTGAGTAACTCGGAATGTGAACCTAAAGGAAAAAGGGAGATTTTCTTGCAGCATAATCAAACCGAAAACCAGTATGACTAAAAAAGGTTGGACAGTATTTACCTTCTTCAACTATCTTTCCTCGATGAATCACAGCAATCATATCAGCATTTCTTAACCGATGGGCGACAATCAGAGTAGTCCGGTTCACCATTACCCTATCTAAAGCCTCTTGAACAGTTCTTTCGGATTCCGCATCAAGAGCACTTGTCGCTTCATCTAACAGCAAGATGCGAGGATCTTTAATTATCGCCCTCGCGATTGCAATCCTCTGTGTTTGTCCTCCTGAGAGCTGAGTTCCATGTTGCCCTACCATTGTCTCTAAACCCCGAGGCAACTTATCGATGAAATTAGCCGCATTTGCTAGCTTCGCCGCTGTTTTAACCTCTTCAACTGTTGCACTGTCGTTTCCATACCTGATATTCTCCATTATACTCGAAGAAGACAGAACCGGTTCTTGGCTAACCAATCCAATCTTTCCTCTAATCCATTTCAACTGAAACTCCTTCAAGTTAACATCATCAATAAGCACTTGGCCTGAATTCGGATCATAAAACCTTTAAGTCAAACTGATCACAGTAGATTTCCCACTTCCGCTTTCTCCTACCAAAGCACTAGCGCCACTCGGAATCAATAGAGAGAATCCGCCAAATATCTCTTCTTTAGGCCTAGCAGGGTAACTGAACCACACATCCTCCAGCTCGATTTTGCCTCGGATATCTTCTAAAAAAACTTTCCCATTTAGGTCAAGAGAATCAATCAACGGATTTCTTTTGATCGTTTCAAAGATCTTATAAGCTGCAGCTTGACCAGCTGCAAATGCAGTTAGACAAGATGCTGTTTGGCCTAAAGACCTATACAAAGAAAAGAAAAAATCACAATTTTTAACCGTTTTAACTGTCTTCAGACTCAAAAAGAACAAAAATACTCACATCGTACCATCTCTCCACCAAACCATATAGACAAAGCATAGCAAAAAAAGAACACCAAGAACATTACTCCAAACCCTAAACCCGTAGAGAAACCTTGCTTAACACTCGATTTATACGACATATTTATCAACTCTTTGTAGCTACTCGTGGCTTGCTTCTCTCCCGTAAAAGAAGCAACCTGAAGAAATCACACAATAACTTGGGTTAAAGCTTCCACCTTTCCAACAAGTAAAATAACAACAAAAAAGGGAAATTAAGGAAGCATTTTTACGGTTCGAATAGACCCGAAAGTTTGTTCCACAACTGTCGATGCTTTTGCGTAAGCAGCTTGTTCTTGAGAAGAAGCTTTAGCAAACATAATTGACATAGCTGCACCAGCCACAGCTAGAAGAGGAATTGAGGTTAACATAACAAGTGTAAGTAACCATCCTTTCACAAACGCTAAAACATATCCACTCAAGAACGTTGCAAAAATTTCAAATCTATTACAAAGTCTATATCTTATTTTTGCAATTTTTGTTTTTTATTTTACCTTCTCACCCATAGCATCTAGTATAAGAACAGTATCACCAGACATTCGAGCAATAACTTCTCCTGTGCTTGTTTCGACGTCGAAGAATCCAATGTCTTGTCTTAGAACCGTTTTCAGATATAAATTTCTTATCCTTGCAGCTTGTCTCTCTCCCGTAATTACCCAACAAGCCACCTCTAAAAAATGGGAAAAACAAATGAGTTCGAAATTGATTTTCTTCCTTCTAAAAAACGAATTTATACTCCTTCAATGGTTACAATAAGTTTTGTTTTGATATTGTCCAAACAAACTAATAACATGTTAAAATATTTAGAGAAATTCTCAAAAATACCACATTTTCTTTTTATAAATACTAACAGTTTTTAAATGTTTCAAAAATTTCCGCATTTGGTAAATGTTCCAAAAATATCACAAAACTAAAATTTACTTTCAGCATTCA